TTTACAGATTCACGCCTGGTTACATTCCCCATACATTTAATCAATTTTTCCCTTTCCTGGAGAAAAAGATGAAAATAAATTATGACTTAACTATTGTTCTCTAGTGAGTCACGCCAAGATCTGCCTGTACCTTTTTTTAGAAAAATAAGTTTCACATTACTGAAGCAAATGGAATGTGAAATGCTTGCAAAGTTCCTGTGAGAAATCTCTGTTCAAAAATTGTGCCAGCTTGCTGCTTAATGATATTATTATCCTCAAAAGCAGAGGAACTTGACAGCTGGACCCACCCCAGAGAGGCACGGCGTCAAGACCGGACCTCACTGCAGTCAACCCTTTCTCCCTGAAGGTGTCAGAGGACTTTCTTTTTTTTTGTTGTTTTTTTTTTTGAGACGGAGTTTCACTCTTGTTGCCCAGGCTAGAGTGCAATGGCGCAACCTCAGCTCACCACAACCTCCGTCTCATGGGTTCAAGTGATTCTCCTGCCTCAGCCTCCTGGGCAGCTGGGATTACAGGCTCCCACCACCGACCTCGGGTGATCCATTCACCCGGGCCTCCCACCTCCTGCTCTTTGAAGCTGTCATCCACTTGTGTGCAAAACCTTCTCTGTCCACTTGTCAGAAAGGACAGTGAGGACAGAGAGACAGATCTGCTCTGACATATGAGAGAAAGGCAAGCAAGGAAATCTCATAATCAAAGGGCTGAAATCAGAGAATATTCAGATGCTAAATGACAGAGCTCTAAGTGAAGCAAGAAGGGTGAGTAAAGGAACTTGGCTGGTCAGATTTGAAGTCTCTTATTGTCCTATAGTTAATGTTTGTCTGATTTTTAAAAACTAAAGTAAGGCTTGGCCTAGAGAAAGCCTCTTTCTTGCTAAGTAGGGAAAACTGGAAGACTAACTCCTGAGGACAGATAACATGTCACCAGCATGGAACTGCTCCATGGAAGTGCTCAATAAATATTGTTAAATGAATGAATGAATGAGCAAACCATCCTGAGCACTTAGCGGTAACACCTGCTAGATGAAAGAATTATTTCTTCTTCTTCTTCTCCTTCTCCTTCCTCTTCCTCTTCTTCCTCTTCCTCTTCCTCCTCTTCCTCTTCCTCCTCTTCCTCTTCCTCCTCCTCCTCTTCTTCTTCTTCTTCTTCTTCTTCCTCCTTCTTCTTCCTCCTTCTTCTTCTTCTTCATCTTCTTCTTTTTCTTCCTCCTCTTTCTTCTTTCTTTCTTCTTTCTTTCTTTCTTCTTCTTTTTTTTTTTTCATTTTTTGAGATAGAGTATTCACCCTCATTACCCAGGCTGGAGTACAATGGCATGATCTCGGCTCACTGCAACCTCCTCCTCCTGGGTTCAAGCAATTCTCCTGCCTCAGCCTCCTGAGTACCTGGGATTACAGGCGCGCACCACCACGACCGGCTAATTTTGTGTGTGTGTGTGTGTGTGTGTGTGTGTGTGTTTTTCAGTAGAGATGGGGTTTCACCAAGTTGGCCAGGCTGGTCTTGAACTCCTGACCTCAGATGATCCCCTGCCTTGGCCTCCCAAAGTGCTGGGATTACAGGCGTGAGCCACCTTACCCGGCAGAAAGAATCACTTCTTAATGATCACCCGGCACATTAATGCCTCAAGGACAGACTTCCTTCAAAATCTATGGCTCAGGTAGACAATGTCACATCTCTTTAGCCTGAGTTCTTCTTGCCTAGTGTCTTCCTATAAACACCATCTACCCTGCAGCCACACCGAGCTGAAGTCTGTTGGGCTTTGCAGACCCCTCGGTTTGGGAGTAAAGGAATATAGAAGCAGAGGAGGTCCCTGGTGAGCATCTTGGTTTACTTCCCCAGGCTTCCCCTCGGCCATAGGCAGGGTAGGGACAGTGAGGGCATCCAGAGAGAATGGCAGGCCACAACTTGCTGGGCTGCTTCTTTGCAAGAAAATACCATAGCTTCATTCCAACACTCAGTCAGCCATGAGATAAACAGCATAGTTTATAAGCATATAAATAGTATCTTATATAAACTGCACTATTTTTTAGAAACTACCTAAATAACAGTTGATTTAGTGGTATTCAGAGTCCCTATAAATGGACAAATTAAGTAACTTAGCTAGGCATGCATACAGCTATCCAACACCATGTATACTCACATATATGCACACATGAGCCTATGTTCACATGGGCCACCTAAGCCTGCAGGAACACCCCTCAATACAATTCATGTCTTAGACCGCGATGCATGACAGCTTTCACAAGAGCAACCTGTTTTCACATTCATTCAGAAGTGAATGTTTTCATATGAGATTTGAAAAACATTAGTTTAGACATTTTCAGGTTATTAGAGTGAAAAAAAAAAACTATCAGAGACTTTTACAAAACCATTATTTCAAAAATAGCTAAGCATCAGACTTCATAACCTTATTTTAGAAATTCTATTTGCATAATTCTTGGTAAGATACAATATAAATTCACTCTAACGCTGGGGAGTGTCTTACAAAGAGGCCATCTAACTTGGCAACGTTCAGTCTCTGAGTGAGAGCTGTAACTCGTGCTGACTGCTGCACACATATGTGACGAACAGGACACCAAAGCCCTGGGCACAGTTTTGCAAGAGCTGGCTTATTTTTAACTTCATGAGTTTATTAAGGTAATATACTCCATTTTTGTGTGCATATATCCCCCAAATAATGCTTCATTTATCTAGAACCCTACATTTGTGACTGACATTTCTGCAGCGCAGCAGAGGCGGAGCTGAATTTGTTTTGGTTTTTGTTTTTCAGTAGGAAATAATGCTCCAAAGCCTATTACCAAGACATAACATCACCATCCTATCCTGGCCCATACCAAACGGGCGGAATCGGCAATGAGGTTTCATTATTAGTAAAAAGAGTTTTATGAAACCGTAACAATGCTGATGACTTACATGCACAGCGCTTTACCCAGTACAAGGCCCTGTCCTCACAAGGAATCCTTGAGTTGTTGGGTTACTACTCGTTTGCAACAAAAGAAAGTGAGGCTTTGAGGATGGACTGTCTGCCCCAACTCCCCGAGCACCCTCCAACCCCTGCTACCAGGCAGCGCGTGGGTCTTTCCAAAGAAGGACAACAATTTCCCAAAACCGTTCACCCAGCTCCAGTGATGTGCGGATGTAACAGTCACCTGTACTGACAGAGACTGCCCGACTGGGAATTTTCCATGTGGGGTATGAGAAACACAAATCTGGTTATTTATGCGAAGCAAATGAATTTTAATCAAGCCATAGCTCTACTTCCCTCTGCACCACTGTGCACAGAGTCAAAACGCACTGAGAGGCCGGGCACGGTGGCTCACGCCTGTAATCCCAGCACTTTGGGAGGCCAAGGTGGGCGGATCATGAGGTCAGGAGATCGAGACCATCCCGGCAAACACGGTGAAACCCCATCTCTACTAAAAATACAAAAAAAATTAGCCAGGCGTGGTGGCAGGCGCCTGTAGTCCCAGCTACTCGGGAGGCTGAGGCAGGAGAATGGTGTGAACCTGGGAGGCGGTGGAGCTTTCAGTGAGTGGAGATCCGACCACTGGAGCTTTCAGTGAGTGGAGATCCGGCCACTGGAGCTTTCAGTGAGTGGAGATCTGGCCACTGCACTCCAGCCTGGGCGACAGAGCGAGACTCCGTCTCAAAAAAATAAAAAATAAAAAATAAAATTTTTTTAAAATGCAGTGAGAGCCAAACACCCTCCAGGGATAGGGTCACCTACAGCAGGACAAGACGTTTCTGTGCAGGGCTCCGGCTTTGGCTGTGCAGGAGCTCAGGCAGAGCGTCTCCCAAGGCTGTGGCTATCAGTTGAGCACAAGTCCTTTGGTGCTGGGCTGTAGGTAGTGGCATAATTACAATATCTGTGAACTCTGACCTCTGCTGCCTTCCCTCCACTCAAAGCATATCGACTACGCCATGGAGATCCCAACTGTAAGCGCGGTATGGTAAGAATGGCACAGTCTGCTCAGCCAGCCCTCCTTCCCTTTCCCTTTCCCTCTCCCTTTCTCTTTATGAATATGTGTGTGTGTCATAAAGGAAACAAGGAAAATCCTTATTTTGCTCCAGAATTTACACAACTCAAGGAGATAAAAAGTACGTAAGGAAGGAAGTCATAAACATTCTAGAACATAAGGTAACAGACGCTGCAGGTTTATCCATAGGCCTCAGGGGCTGGTGGCCACCCATGCCCTGGTGGTCACGGCCTGGCCTCCCCTCCCTCGCGTCTCTCCCCCACCACCTCTTTGCTCTCAGAGGGCCCACCTGGGGTCAGGCCTGATGCACTGGGAAAAGGCAGCCATCCTCCTGAGTGTGCTGTGAGCCTCCAGCTCTCTCATCCTCCTGGAAGCTAGCAGCAGGGAGAAGAGTGGGCCTCCCTGTCCTCTGAGTGGTCTAGGGCCCACGGGTCACCACGGGTTGCTGATCAAGAGCCCTTGTCCCCATCTCTCACAGAAGCACCCACGGGCCAAGAGGAAGTGGGGCTTCTGCCAAGCCCAGCCCTCCTGTGCCCCGTGAGCTCCTTGGGCGGGTGCACAGGCACACAACAGAAAAGGCCGTCTAAGAAACGCATGCACTTCCGCCTTCCACGCCAAGCCCTGAAGGCCGGGATGGGGGTGGCCTGGCTCTGTAGGGAGCTGGACTTGCCTCCCTGTGATTGGCATCCCCGCTGAGTTGCTTGGGCTTTGTTGATTGTGCTCACCATGGCAGCAGGCAAAGGGCAATGGCAGGTGAGGCTGCATTCCCCATCTGAGGAAGGGCAGGGCTCAGGAAGAAAGAAGAATGCTGAGAAAATCGGAAACAGCTTCTCAGCCAGACACACCCAGGCCCAGGGCTCTCCTCTCTCATTCCAGCACCAAAACCACACACCCTCCTGCCTCGCCTTGACGTCCACTTGCTATCTCCGTGCGAGGGACCCTGTGGGAGGCACGCGCGTCTCTGCCCCGCACACTTGCTCCTCGGTTTCAGTTTCCTTTTCACTTTTCCTTAAAGGCTCATCGTGTTACCTCAGGTCCTTGATATGCTTTGTTAACTGCTTTCCTGGGGCCGTCCCAACGCTCCTTTACCAGGGACCTGCTTGCCCCACTCATTGTCCCACTGATGGGATTTCCAGCCCTCCCCCTGGAGCCCACACCTGGCAGGGGCAGGGCCACGCCTTCCCGAAACAAATCACCCACTGAGCCTGCCCAGCCGGCTCCCCAGCCGCCCCACGTGACAAAGCCACTTGCCCTGGTGGCTCCTCTCTGATTACCTGCAGCTGCCACTTCAAAATAATAGACTCCTGCAACCGGCATCACAATGCCACCTGACTCAAGTTCCTCCCAAGTCTGATGGCTGCCAACTGCAGCCGGTACAGTCAGCAGTTTCCAGGCAATATCTGGAGTGTTGACAGAGGGCTCAGGGTGGCAGGTGTGATTCTATGTTGCTAAAACCCAGGAACAGGCAGCAGCAAGGGTGACTTCTGAAGATGGTTCTGAAGAAGTCCTAGTTTGCTTTTCTGTTTTCCAAATGGCAACTCTATATAGAATTCTACTCAAATGGCCTACAGTTTAAATAATAAAGCACAACAAACACATTTGATGATGACAGAAGAAAGCAGTGAGTTCAGAGGAGAGCTCAGATGATAATCACGCAGCGCGCTGAAGGTAGTTTACGTACATTTGCCCTTTGTGCAATTAGAGTCTGCAGCCCACTGTGCTCCTGCCAACACCTTGGCCTTCTCCCAGGGAGAGGACCAATTAGCTGGTGGAGAGTCCCCTGTGTCCTGGGAGGTGGTGCAGGGGCCCCTGCAGCAGAGTGGATTACTAAACGGACAGGGACTGGGCCCTTGAAGTCTCTAAGGACTGTCCCAGCCAGCAGCACTCTCTGCCCAGCAGCACGAGCTGGCCAAACCCCACAAGGCCCACGGTGGCAATTCCACCCCATTCAGTGAGCCAGATTGAGCCTGCAGCTTGCCTCTGCCACTAGCTTTCACCTGCTCTGGGCGTGTGACCTGCCTTCTGTCAGCGGCAGACCCCCTCAGGAGCCTCTTCAGTACTCTGTCCCCATGGAAGCCCAGCATGCAGGTCATGCCCAGCACAGAGTGGCCCAAAGCCCCAACAAGACACCACTCCACACTGAGACAAAGCCCCCAAAGGGAGGCGCTGCCACATCGTGTGAATGCCCAGGGACCGAGAGATTTGCTGAAGAGCAGGGGTAGCCACACACCTGCAGGCCTTGACACCTCCTCTCACTGCCCCTCCACCGCCTCCCAGTGTGCCTTCCACAGCACGGTGCGCACATTACCACTCTGCTCAAATTTCAGGAGCAGAAAATGTCAGTTTTCTTTCTTTGCCCTTCTTTGCTGTGCCCAAGTCATACGTTCCCTGAGACATCAGAGAACCAAATGAAAAGGTCAGTGACACCCATGTGCATCTGTTAAAATAGAATTTATAAACTGCAACAGAAAATACCTTACGCAAGGACATCTAAGGACTTTGTGACAGGCCCTCCTTAGGCCCTAGGCTCATTTCATTCAGAGGGAAGGAAATGAACATTTATTAAGCACATCTCAGGTCTCATTTAAGGCCCACAACCAGCTATGAGTTAAATGGTCCGTCGCTTTTTTTCGCAGGTGAGGAAATAGAGGGTCTGAGCAGCTAAGCAACCAGTCCAAGATGACTGAGGCAGTCAGTGGAATCCGACCCTGAAATCAAGGCCTGTGCCCCCGCAAGTGTGAGCTCTTCCCCATGATGGCAGCTGCCTCCCAAGAAACCCTGGCCAAGAGTCTGAGTGACCAAGCAAGCTATATCCTTTCTGGGCTGGAATCTGACAGCATGTATCAAAACCTGCTGCTCTAGTAATTTCGCTTCTGGGGAATTTGTCCTAAGGAGATAATCCTGCATTCTTCTAACAGTGTCCTGGAAACATCCTAAAGGCTCACCAGTAGGAGACATAGGCAGGAGGCCAGACACAGCAGCAGGACGCAGTCACATGAGGGATGTTATCCAGTCACTAGAAATCATGATACAGGAACATATTCAGTGACGTGGGATGATACCACCACACATTGCAATGGGGGCAAAATCAGCTCTGACAGACTCCTAAGAGTATCCAATAGCAAAGTCAGGGAATCAACCTGAGCGTCCATCAACAAATGGCTGGATAAAGAAAAGGTGGTGCGTGTACACCATGGAATACTACACAGCCGTAAAAAAGGAATGAAATCATGTCCTTTCCAGCAACACAGATGGAGCTGGGGGCATGTACACCATGGAATACTACACAGCCGTAAAAAAGGAACGAAATCATGTCGTTTCCAGCAACACAGATGGAGCTGGGGGCATGTACACCATGGAATACTACACAGCCGTAAAAAAGGAATGAAATCATGTCCTTTCCAGCAACACAGATGGAGCTGGGGACATGTACACCATGGAATACTACACAGCCATAAAAAAGGAATGAAATCATGTCCTTTCCAGCAACACAGATGGAGCTGGGGGCATGATCCTAAGTGAAACAACTCAGAATCAGAAAATCAAATACCAGGCCAGATGCGGTGGCTCATGCCTGTAATCCCAGCACTTTGGGAGGTGGATGGATCACTTGAGGTCAGGAGTTCAAGACCAGCCTGGCCAACACCATCTCTACTAAAAATACAAAAATTAGCTTGGTGTGGTGGCACATGCCTGTAATCCCAGCTACTAGGGAGGCTGAGGCAAGAAGATTGCTTGAATCCCGGAGGCAGAGGTTGCAGTGAGCCAAGATTGCACCACTGCACTCCAGTCTGGGTGACAGAGTGAGACTCTGTCTCAAAAAAAATAAAAAAAAGAAAAGATCACATGGTCTCACTTATAAGTGTGAACTAAACAAGGGGTACACATGGACATAAAGATGGAAGCATTAGACAATGGGGACTCTAAAAGGGGGAGGGTGGAAAAATTATTTATTTGGTACAACATTGACTATTTGGGTGGTGGGTAACCTCACCATTATATTATAAAATACATTCATGCAAAAAAACCTGCACTTGTATCCCTGGAGTAAAAAAAATTAAAAATAAACAAAATAAAAATGAGGATGTATCCCCGTCATTTGAAGAGCTTGCTCAGCATGGATTCTGCTTCAGTAAGCCTGGGCTGCAGCCCAAGACGCCTGCATTTCTAACAAGCTCCCAGGTGATGCTGACGATGCTGCCTGTGGCCCTTCCTTTGATGAGTACCACGTGTGCAAAATGATATATGCAGTAAGAACCCGTTTTTATTTTTATGAAGCTCTTAATGCATAGAATAAATAAAGGAAGGATCACAAAATGATGCGAACTGACATTGTCTCTGGGTCATGGAACGATGTTCATTTTCAACTGTCTCGTGCTTTTCCACGCTTCCTAAGTTTTCTGACTTCGCACGCATTTTGTTCATAATGAGAAGAAGCTCCAATCGTTTCTGTTAGAGACAAGGCAGTGTGATGTAAAAAGACTGGGATTTGGGGCCCAGGATTTGGAGTTAAGTTACTTCCCCTCTCTGAGGCTCAGTTTCCTAACTTGGAAACCTCACGCCTAAGCGATTGTGAGAATTGAAGCAGATCCTATGGGTAAGTTTCTATGCAGTGCCTGGAACACAGAAGGAACTCTCGATGTCAGGACCTGCCTTCTCCACTGCTGGGAACAAGATCTCGTGTCTATGAGGGGCAATTTCTGTCATTTTCACAAAGTACTTTTGCACCGGCGCCCTTGTTTGTCTCCACGTCATCTCTGTGACAGAGGCTGGGGGAGAAACTATCGCTGTAGAACTTGAGAGCAACCGAGCTGCCCAAGGCCACAAAGCAAGTCAGCACAGGTGCCTGGAACCTCTGTCCCCAGAACACAGCTTCCCTTCTGGGCTCCACTACCTCTCATGTGCCCACTGCATGACCCACACACAGGGACCACAGTGGCTGAGCTCTGACACCAGGCTGGGAACAGGCCCACTGCTGAACTGGCCTGGGACCGAGATACAGAACTGGAGTCTCTCTGGGCCTGCCAGGACACAGGCTAGAGGATCCCACACACGATGTGCGACTTAGCCCACCACCCCTCTAAGAGGAACCCTCACTCACTCGTGGGGATTTAAAAACATGACAATGTGCTTTTCCTCATGGAACATCTTGAACATCTCGTCTGTTGAAATAACTCCACAATGGGCTGGGTGTGGTGGCTCATGCCTGGAATCCCAGCACTTTGGGAAGGCAAGGCAGGCAGATCACCTGAGGTCAGGAATTCGAGACCAGCCTGGCCAACATGGAGAAACCACATCTCTACTAAAAATACAAAAATTAATTGCGCATGGTGGCACATGCCTGTAATTCCCAGCTACTCAGGTGGCTGAGGCATGAGAATCGCTTGAACCCAGGAGGCAGAGGTTACAGTGAGCTGAGATTGTGCCACTGCACTCCAGCCTCGGTGACTGAGTGAGACTCTGTCTCAAAAAAAAAAAAAAAAAAAAAGAAAGAATTCCACAAGACAAGTTTGCTACTGGTAAATTCTTTTCAGTTGCAAAGGCAGTCAACCAATTATAGCCCCAAAGCCCAACTGAGCTCTCAAATTACTTACACTGGTTGTTTACAATGGTCAGAAATGAGTTAGGTAACTTCAGAATCTTCGCTTTGCTGTGTGTGGTTCAGGGTAAACTTTGATAAGTGGCACCTGCCACATCTACATTCTTTTCTCGCTTAATATCCCAAAGTGAGGCTACATAGAACCTAACAGCCAACATGGATTGCATTGATCCCTGATCAAAATCAAAACAGGAAACTGCAGCTGCCGCTCATGTTGCCACCCTGATGATTTTTCACAGCTCCCTCCAGGTGGACATGGCTCTGTGGGAACACCAGAGTGAAACCCGAGGGCCGTGCCCTAGCCGGGAGTCAGGAGGCTCCGCACAGGCTGCTGGGCAGAATCACTGCACCTTGTGCCTCGTGGGGCCAGTCTCCCTCCACATGCCTGGACGCACCCCTCCCAATGTCCAGGAGGCAAAGAACAGTCATTGGAGAACTTGTTCTTAAAGATGGGACCTGTGTGGTGACCTCCTCCACGGCCTCCAAAAATCCACACTGTGGAACAACAAGGGACTGCAGAATGTCTGGAAGGTTTCTGGGCAAGGGGTGGTGACAGAACCAGTGGCTCCTTCTGTTCCAGTCTTAGGCCAGCCCAGTATTGTCATCATCTGTCACCCCATCACCCTACCATTAGAGGTAGCCCAAGGCACAGGGGACAAATGCTGGTATTTCTACAAAGAAAGGCCCATCCTCATTACTGATTGCTTCATGCTGCTTCCAAGGGTGTCACAAACACAGACCCTCAGCTCATGAAGGCAACCTAGGCTCACTCCGATTCTGTTCCTCTGGCCATCTCTAAGGAAAGCAAGATGTCCTCCCTAAAACAACCCCACTGTAGCAATGCCCCGTACAAGGCCTGCTACACAATCTGTTCTTCACTTCCCTCCCACCTGGAGCCCATGTACTGCGTGCAAACACAGTTTGCATAATAAGCATCTTATGAGATCAAACCACATTCGCAGGAATGCCTTGCAAACTTCACCTCCCAAAGCGCCATCACTCTGCACAGCCGCCTAAGTCAAGCGCCTCACTGTCAGGGGCAGGCGTGGCTCCCCGCCCACGTATACCACGAGTCACAGAAGAGAGTGCGGTCCGGCCCTTCACTCAGCACATGAAGACACAGCTCAGAGAAAGATTCGGGTGCCGGCTCAGGTTTTCACAGTCACCTAGTGGGAAAGGCATAACCAGATGCCTAGCCTCCTAACTGCCATTTCCCCGTGCTTCTTCACACAAGGCAGGCCACTGCTAGTCCGCTCAGCCAATTAGCAACTCCCGGCTATGTCACCTCAGACCCTGTGCTCCTCACTGACATCTGTCACACCTGTCAGTCGCTCTGTACGGGTGTGATGAGACAGGCCACTGCAATCTCTGACAGAGGGAAGAAGCAAAGTCCCAGCTGACAGATAGCAAGAGAGAACAGAGCAAGCCTGGGACACTGGGCTGTCACCCAACGTTCTATCAGCTGGTGGTCTGGGCGGAAGAACCGCACTCAGGATCCTTGTGGCCTGACACGTAAGACACGCAGACATAAATGATTCAACCCAGGGACATCATGAATTACTGGGAAATAACCCATTACCGGAGACTAAGAAAACAGGCTTCAGCACGAAGGACAGAAATAGATGTTCCATCCAGAGCTGGTATCTGCATTTATTAAATAAAAATAAACATGATAGGAACCTGTCAGCTAATGAGATGACACATCTGCCCCTGGTAGGCTGGCACTTTGGAACTCTGACGACATAGAGGCCACAGATGTCAACGATTTGCCCCGCTGGGGCTGTAGAACATTGCCTGTAGGCAATAACATGGCCTGCCGGCCTGCTTGCTTTCCTCTCGGTCAACTCTCAGGTTTTCCATCAGCCAGCCAAGTCACAGGCTTGCAGACTGGTTTCTTATACTTGGGAGCAAAAGCCAGTGTGCTCCCGTGATCTCCCTGGCCTGGGAGAACATGCAGGTTTGGAGTTGGAGGTGTAGATATGAGGAAATTATACAATTGTTGAGAACAAATTGTATGTCTGAATTTGTTTGCCTTTATTTTCTTAAATGGAGAGTAAAAATATAGGTGATATTTAGATTCCTTTACAGATCTAAAATCACCTTGAAAGTTGAGTAACTGAAAAGGTATTCATTTAGTTTTTATTTAAGTTAAAAATAGTTTAGACAACCAGCACGAATGCTCTAGAGCAGGGGTCCCCAACCCCTCGGGCCGTGGCCTGGTACCAGACTGTGGCCTGGTGGGAACCTGGCCACACAGCAGGAGGTAAGTAGCAGGCGAGCAAACATCACCACCTGAACTTCACCTCCTGTCAGATTAGCAGCGGCATTAGATTCTCACAGGAGCGTGAGCCCTACTGTGAACGGCGCATGTGAGGGATCTGGGTTGCACGTTCCTTATGAGAATCTGCCTAATTCCTGATGGTCTGAGGTGGAACAATTTCATTCCAAAGCCATCCTCCTGCCCTTCCCTGGTCCATGGAAGAATTGTCTTCCACGAAACTGATCCCTGGTGCCAAAAAGATGGGGGACCGCTGCCCTAGAGAGTTTAAATCCACTGTTACATGATTTTCGGTTTCTCATTCTGTACAAGTCGCTGAAATCTCAGGAAGGTGCCCTACTGAACAAGGCTTTTGCCCTAAGCCTGCGAGCTTGTGAAGGGCCAGGCTAGGTGGAATTCAACTTTGTCTTCCCAGCACTGACAGCATGTGTTAGGCACCAGTAAACGGTCACAGACTTAAATAAATGCATTTTCTAAAGGGATTACTAACCACAGCTTCCACTTTTAGAGATACATTCTTTTCATCACCA